TTGATTTTATATGCAAGGGAATAGCATCCAATTTCATTCCTAATTTGGCAAAGGAAATTATACAAGTGGAAACCGGTCAAGCACTTCTGACTTAGGAAAGTTGTTTAGGCCAAAAGCAGAGAAGCCCCATATCTTTTATGCCCTTGCAAAGGACTTGAGGAATTGATTACTTAATTTGATACTGCTCTTTACTCCCCTTTATCCTATTTCTCACATGCTGTTTTATTCTCAATCTGCTAAGCTAAGCAAGTATCAATCACCTAAACTTTTAGTCTTGCCTTGTTCTTTCAGGGACATCAACACAATCATGCAGTTAGCTCCTGGTATTGAATTATTACTTTCGGTGCTATCTATCTGGTATACTTATCATTCCTAGCTAGTTCCAGCTGCATGTCAGATTCCCCCACCACTGTGTGCCTCCCCCATATTGGAATCATCAATCAAGAAAACAAAGCAATGGATAAACCAAAGTTCAAAACTTTGTGGGGGACTTAAAGCTGTCTTCTAACTAACCTAAACATTAATGCAAATTTCCAACTATTATTCCACTAACGTAAAATTTCAACTATTATTCCACTAACGTAAAAGGACGCTTAGGATTTCAATTAAACTTCTAGAAGGCTAGATAGCTTGTTAAATAGCTAGCCTAAAATGTTATACCCACCAAGTTAGGACTCAAAAGGTTCATTGTCTAAGGTGTGGAAAAGTGCATGTATACTTTCTCTCTTACCATGCTGATTCTTCTGTTAAATAGATACAGAGAATATATATGCCTGCACTGTCCGAAGAAATTGATTCACAATCCTTATGGGTCATTTCTACAAGATATTTGGAAATCTAAATGATACATAATGGGCCAACAAATAAAACCATCTGGGGGATTGAAGAGATTCTTGACATACCTTTCTCCATGCTTGCAATCATGCCAAGGTTTACATGGAGCATATCTGGACATGTAGGCTAGCTAGGTGTCTTCCCAATAGGTAAAGATTGAAATTTGGATCTTCATTAGATCTTCGGATGGAGATTGCTAAGAAAGGCCACTTCAGTACGGCACTGATGGGTGATGAGCCATCCCTCTCTCAGCTCTCTTGCAAATTTCAACATGATTCTCAAGGATATGGACTGCGCCTCCTACTTTTTCCTCATGGCTAGATTGAGACCTAGACCTATACACTTTAGATTCCACCAAAAAAACAAACATCTCCAGGTCATTGCACTAGTACTATCCACCCTGGTAACACATTGGCATTTCACATGATATCCTTATACATGCATGATTAAAAGAATAAACCCGAATTTAGTTTTCACTTGAAAATGGTAATCTTACATAAAATTCAGTTTACCTGAAGAAAAACAGACCATGCATACAAATGCTGCCTCAAGAAAAGACTACCATGGCAGACCAAAGAAAAGAATACTAACATGACACATACGAATGTGCATCCCTATCTAATATCCTTTAGCATAACAGATTTGCTTTATCCATACCTCATGATCTAAAGTGCATAAAAAAAAAAGAAAAAGAAAAGAAAAGAACAGTGGAATATGACACTGCATGCTATCTAAAATGTAAGGAAGAGAAGCAATGTAGCTAAAATCACTTTCAAAGAAGACTTGGTCTGGCACGCTTCCCCTGTTTGTTGGGCTCCAAGAAGCCGCGTTACCGTCCATATTGATATTCTCTCAGTAATAAAAACAAACACCTGGTGCTCAATTACTGGATATTCAAAATTCGCTTTTGTATTTCAACACCTTCCGGAAAGCTAAACATTTTCCCAAGGTTTGTATTGGAGTTCAAAGATTCGCGAATTCAGCAGTGCTTTCATTCAAAGCTAAATCAGAAAACTTCTAAGGTTATCCACAGCTAGTTGATTCGGGGCAGGCGTGTATATCTGCTAATAATATGATAGCATCTGTATGAAAGTAAAAAAGCAAGGTTTTTAATTTCCCATCATTGTCATTCTCTACGGATCACATCATATCATTGAATGCTTATGGAGTTATCAAACTACGCAAATCCAAAAATACAAATAATTCATCTTTAAATTTTAAAATATTTAGATAAGTTGGTTGAAATTTTAAGTTTTATCAATATTTTGAAAATCTTTGTTCTCTATCTCTCAAATTATAAATTGTTTTTTAAAAAAAAAAACTACACAAACCCAAAATTACACGTACGAGGATTTGGATTCTAACATGAAACCTTTGAGACATATGCCTTCTGATTATGTGAAAATTTAGTTAAAACTCTTTTTTTTTTTTTTTTTTGAACAGTGAAAAATTTTTTCGAGAAAAGGGAAAAGAAGACTTGAGATTAGAATCAAGTCTCGGTAATTTTAAGCACATCCTGCAAGCAGGGATCAATAGACCGCCAAGTGCTGGACCGTTAAAACTCTTATTGTATTAATGATTTAATTATGTTTTAATATTCAATTAATTAATGTAACATGGGATCTCTTTGGCCAAATCATGTTGTGAGTGCATGTACAAGGATATTTTCTTCTATTATTTAAAAAAAAATAAAAACAAAACTCTAATTTATTGAAATGTCATTCTAAAAAAGAGTTCTCTCTCCTACGAGAGACAGCTCTCTCCCTCTTTTTAATTTTTTCGGGGCAAAACTATAAGTTAAGCTCATGAACTAACGTCAGAATCGCTATTAAACCCTCAAACTTTAATTGATGCATATAAGCCCTTAAACTGTGCAATCAAAGCAATTCAACCCTTGCTCTCACAGCCAACTTAATGGCCGTTAATTGCCGTTAACTGCAGTTCGGGGACTGCCTCATGTGGTGAAACATGGCCATCTTATGCTTACTTGGCAAGTGATTTGATATTTGATTTGTCTATTTATATAAAAAAAAAAATCATTTAGAATAATTTTTCATTATTTTTTAAATAATTTTACTTATCATTTAAATAATTAACTTTTTT